CAATATTAAGACACATCAAATAACACATATGTATTCCTTTCCAACTGTAACTCATTGCTCCAGAAAAGAATTTCATCACAATCAAAAATCAAAAAACTATTTCTAATTATTAAAGCCTTGCCCACTCGTCTTTAGAACTTGAAGTAAATATCAAAATATATCACAACTATAAAAAAAAAATCAATTTTCAGACATCTCTATGTGCAGCTTCTTACCATCGTTTTAATCCAGCACTACAGGAATGACTCTGCTCTCCTAAATCCTGGTGAAAACAGGGTCACTTTGTGTCTAAACTGAAGTTGCTTTTTTTAATTCCAGAGCACGATCTACTTTACATTCCAAGCTATAGGAAATTATTCATCTAACTAACGAATCCTCCAGCAACTTCGACAGCAGACAACCAAATAATCACTCTTAGAAAATAAATTTTTAAAAAAGACAAAAGGAAATCTCAGGTCACTTATCTGTAAACTTACACACACACACAGATGTGGTGTTCACACTTCCACAATCTGGCCATCACCTATAGGAAAATCAAACACTTCTGCCAGGATTTTGTAACTTAAAGTTTAAATCCCGTCTCAACGAGGTATTTTGCCACGTGCCCAGCTTTTAAGAGCAAAATGTCCCACTGCCTGGTGCCATGTGGTTCAGGATGTCGCTACAGCAAAGCTTTAAAAAGAATCGCTAACACATGGAACGGTAAGAAAACGTGTCAAACCATCTGACATTCCAAAACTGAATTTAAAAAAAGCACAGAAATTCTTTTGAGTGCATTAGAACACCTCAACAAGCAGCCTAGAAAAGATCATTTTTGACAAAAAAAAAAAAAAAAAAAAATAAGGGGGAGGGAGGATTTTTTCCAGGAGATTTGGGGCAGGACACAAGCAGAATCTGTGGGATTCCTATGGGATCACACAGCTTCCGTGCGCATTCAGCGTATCATTTGTGGTGCACATCCGAATCAATGAGAAATTAACACTCCTGGTGGTGGAAAAATCAGTAATTTTCAAGGTTTCTTTACTCTTCCAAGGTGGTAAGAACCCCAAATGACTCTTTTCGGTAACATGGGTGGTGAAGGAGCAATCTCATGTCAGGAAGACTTCAAAACACAAACTATTCCTCAAATCTGGGCAGGTGACGCCCTCTGAGAAAGCGGCTCCCGCAGAAAGTATTCACCTCCACCCACTTTCCCACCTCAGCCTGGTGGGCAACTCCTGAGAGGCCAGAAAATAAACCCAAGTAAAGCTCTGCTTTATTTTTACCGTGTTCTTTTTGGTCTTATCTTCTCCATTTTACTCCTTTGCAGCTCCCATTACAAATCCCCTATAAAAGTCTCCGAATATACATTTAAAGCGAAGCTTAGCTGAGATCCAATGCAACAAACTCCAAACCTTTAATGAAATAAAGACTTTGTTTAAACAAAACCAAAACCAAAACAACCTGCAGAGCATCTTTCCTCATGTTATTGTCCAGGAAAATCACCTCCCTTTAATAAAAGTCCTATTTACTTCACACAGCTCTTTGAAAACCACAAGGAACAAAGCCCCAAATTCTCCTTCACCACCTTTCTGCTCGTTTTTCACATCACCTGAAGGACGGTGCCACGCACAAAAATTCTCACAGGTGTTTAACACCCACACGTTTTTGTCCCCAAACACTGACCCACCTCTCTTAATGAAACACAAATTGTTTTGCCTTTTCAAGTTGGGACAGATACGATGAGACTTGAGTGACAAAGTTCTTCAAGAAGTACAATTTCAGAGGAATTCAGTGTCATAAAGACCTCAATAATTTCACAGCATCACAAAATTGGCCATTTCCACTTAGAATAAAGTCCTAAGAGGATCTCCAGTTTACTAAAACCCCTGAGAAATACTACAGAAATTGCAAAAAGGAATTATTCTTCAGACAATACCAAACTGTCCTTAGCTATTCCAGATAAATCCCACTCTTAAGAAATGAAAAACAGATAAGAAATAGGGTAAATCATTCCAGTCATGTCACAGACAGAATTTACTACCCCAGGTATTGAGATGCAAATAAATTTCTACCTGGTCTGGGTATGTGAAATCTGAATATATTGCACAGCGAGTGGAAGCACCTTACCAGTAAAAAGGGGGTGAAGTAGCTTTTGCTTACCACAGTGTACGAGGGGCTTATGTATTTACATTGCTAAATTCAAAGTGTGTTAAAAATTAAACAGAAAAGTCCACTTGTGTTTTAAAAGACTTCAAGGCCAGGCAGGGTTTTGCTTTACAAAGTAAAGATCTGGTTAAATGTTTATTAATACCTAACTCATTGCTTAGAAACACAGAAAACTCCTTTCTGATCCTTCAAAATGAAACCTACTATCCACCAGATTCCAGTACTTGCTCTATTGAATGTGAATTTACTGTATTAATCAGAAAAAGATTATTTTTTCCTCTTTCCTTAGAGTATCATCTGGTTTTCCATTTAACTAGAAATTGCCAAGAAAATGTGATGCTGAAGCATAGCAGACGCAGCTTATCTTCTGATTAAATCTTAAAACTTTGTTCCAGTGGGATATTCAGTCCTCTCCAATTCAGAGCAGTATTTCATCCCGTCTCGACATCCCAACGATGCCATTTTATAAGTACTACGAGTTTCTTGGACTCTTTTCTATCCATTCTGCAAGGAGCAAAGAAGCACCAGATGAAAAGGGCATTTTCCTGCTTGGGATTTTTTTTTTTTTTAAACCTTAAATGTAACCAGGTCTCCTTTCAATTCATCTTCTCTGGGCTTTTTTTGGAGACCTCTTTAAGTCTCACCTATTTTTTTTTTAAGCTGTAGTAAGTGTGAAAATCTTTGACAAAGGGTTGTCTTTATCTAAGTGTTAAGATCTCATTGAGAAAGAGGTGTTAAAAATAAACAAACAAGCCTTTAAAGCAGCCTAAAAGTTGTCTCAAATTAATTCTAGAGGTGCTTCTCTCTCTCTCCACCTGCTCTCTAGCCACAACAGAGCCTGGATTTCTAAATCCAGGAGGAGAAAATAATTAAGAGAAGTAAATAAATCTTTGCATGGTTCTTTAGACATCAGGGGAGTGGGAAAATCAGAAGAGGAGAAACTCATTTCATCTTCACTTCTGCACACTCTCCTCACTGACAGCCCCACTAACCCTTCCAGAAGGTCCAATGTTCAAGCAGGTAAAATTTTATCAGAATAATTACCTTGATTAGAACAGTTACCAGTGGTAAAATTCCATTCATAGTGATAATCGAACACAATTATACCAATATATTTATTTACTTAATGAATATTTTCTGTTTTGGAGAAGAAGTGGTATGCAAAGGAAATGTTTCCAGCTCTGGAAACCTTTCTGAAGAGGAGAGCTCTTCATCAGAGCTTAGAAAATTTATGGGTGCAACGGTAGCTTCCTGGTTCCTAAATTTACTCTTAAAAAGCTAAATATCTGAGAAGTATTTCAACATGAATTTTCAAATTACTAAAAGGAATACAGTTATTAGCTCTAGCAGTCATATTTTTTTTCCTATATGTAGTTTAGAAAGCCACACAAATAACACAACTACCTCGGTGATTACAGAACCAAAGCCACAGGCCTATTGCTAGGAAATGGAAATGCATCCTTGGACTTGTTTGGTTTTGAGGGTTTTTTTTAAATTTTTCCAAGTCTGCATATTTTTGCTGTGAGGCAACGGCGAGGGTGAAAAGAATGGCAAGGCATCAACCTTTTAAATGTCAGTGGCAACAGGGAAAAGTGGATAATAATACCCATCATTTCCCAAAGTATTTTAAAAACAAGTCCTGGAAAAAGTTGCTCCTTCAAATTTGCTTATTCCCTTAATTAAGCAAATGCCTCGTGTCCATATATTTACGCTTTGCCCTGCTAGTGCCTTATGGATGCTGTGCTGATCCACCATGGAAAATAATTAACGACGGCAACAGCGTTCCCCTTGTTTCTGTTCCGTGCCAACTTTGGTCTTTTTTATGTTTGAGGCTGGTTTCCTTCTACATCAACGATAACACTTTGCCACCAAACACATTATCTTTTCACATCTCGTAGTTCCTCGCCGTTGAAAGGGTAAATTTCACCTTGAGAAATTAGTAACTAAAAGATTTAGAGATCCCTTAGTTGCTTAGACATAGAATCCCAGAATCCCAGACTGGTTTGGGTTGGAAGGGACCTTAAAGCTCATCCAGTCCCAACCCCCCTGCCAGCAGCAGGGACACCTTCCACTAGACCAGGTTGCTCAACGCCTCATCCAGCCTGGCCGAGAACACTTCCAGGGAGGAGCAGCCACAGCTTCTCTGGCCAACCTGGGACACTGTCTCACCACCCTCGCAGCAAAGAATTTCTTCCTAAAATCATCACCCAGCTGTTGTAACAACCTTTGAATAAAATCACTGATAACCATGGAATGAGCATTTATCACCTCGCTGTTTGATATTTACATATGCTAACAAGCTTTGAATGAAATTCAAATTCCTCACAAATTGCTGATAACCTTCGGACCTTTTGCAAATGTTTAAGTGCTTAATGGCTGAGGAAGGACCAAACATTCTTCAAGGAATGCTGTCCCAAGCATGGAAAAGAGACACCATTGTGCAGAATCAGAGAGGAATTAAATCAAAGAGGAACTCAATCCGCCTATCAAAGACCACCAACTCATTTCACTGGGAGCGTGAAGGACATTTAAGTTCAATGAATATTCATGTATTAGGTCAATATAAGATCACAGAATCACAGAATGTTGGGGATTGGAAGGGACCTCAAAAGATCATCGAGTCCAAGATGTGCTGAAACAAAGATGGACACACACACCTTGGGGGATCGATCTCCATGTGTGTCCAGCGCTGAAATAAAGAATTCCTGCTTTCTACAACTCCAGAACAAGCCTTCGAGAGTTTCTCTGACCGGCTTTCTCGGTATCACCGTGCCGAGGGAAACGGCCCACACAGCCCACAGCAGGATGGATGGTGGCTCTGGGTCAGGTAAGAACCTGACCAAGCAGTGGCCTTACCTGTCGCTGCTGGTACTGCTGCTGCTGCTGATGGAGTCGCTGCTGGAAGATCGGCTCCTGGATCCGCTGCCGCTGGGAGAGCGGGTGGGTCTGGACGCCTGACTGGCCAGCCGCTGCGGGGACTGGGTCCTGGACTGGGATGAATGCGGTGACCGACTCCTGCTGTGCTGGTAATTCCTCTCCGGCCTTCTGCCTCGTACCTCCCGTGTAATATCATCCCTGTAGATATCCCTGTGTACCACACTGGGCAATGTAAACTGCTCCCGGGCCCTAGGTTCATAACGGGGATCGTGAGCATCAAAACGGTTTGGACTTCGACTCCGTGAAGTATAATAGAGCCCGTGTTGTAAAGTCCGTTCTCGAGGATCTCTATAGTAATCCTGATCGTAATGTCTCGTCCGATCAAATCCTCCCGTCCCCCGCTCATGGTGTCCATAGGCACTATGTTCATAAGCACGCTCCCTGTTATCTGAAGCCCTGCATTTAGGAAGGAGGGAGGGGGGGGGAAGGGAAAAATATTTCATCAGAAAAGGGGTAAAACACAACTAAAAGCAACTCATGCAAAAACATTCACGTCAGCGCTCAACTTATTTTTGCCGCTGCTTCTCCGCTAAACAGCGATAAAAAACCTAACAAGCCAACACTGACAAACTTCAAAAAACCACATTTTAATTGACTCCAGAGTTCTATTTGTATAGGATAAAGCTGAGCAATTGTTTTGTTTTCATCACAAAATCAGGCTTTCATGACCAGCATCTTGCCTGCACAGGAAAAAAAAATAGTCCTTTCCAGTGCCAAATCCTTATTTTAGTTGTATTTTTTTTTTCTTTCTCCTTTAAATTCAGTAAACAAGGAAAACTTCATCTTTGGGAACGTCACCATTACCTTTTTTTTTTTCCCCCCTCCCACCCCCCTTTTCCATTTTTGCTTAAGAGCTTCAAACATTTTTTTTTTTTCTCCAATTTGGTAATTACTGGAGCTCTTCTAATTATCCTGCTGCAAAAATGGCATCGTAAATTGGGCTGTAGCCATGAAAGCCTCCGTGCAAAGCATGACCCAGAGGTAAGAAGCTGCTTTCAAAAGGGGTAGTTTAACCCATAGAAGAAGACCCAGAAAATTAGGGGTTTTCTTGTTGCTGTTCTAAAATATTTCATCCTCTTTAGAAGGAATTTTGCTTTGATCAGACTGCTACACTCAATTCTCATCAAAGAACTGCATTTACTAAAGAAATATTTTGATTACTAATGGTAGAATATTTGAACTGCCAAGATGCAGGCCCTCAAAAGATACTAAGACCCTACACCTTAGGTAGGTGTATAAATTCAATTTTTCAGTATAAATTCAATTTTTACTGAGTATAAAGAGTATAAATTCAATTTTTCAGTAGGTGTTTTTGTTTGGTCAGACTGCTGCTGCTACTGCAACCACAGAATTTAATTCAGCTCCTCACAACCACGCTACGTTCAAGTAGCGAAGGTCCATTTTTGTTTCAGGATCTCAAACATTTTGCACGTCAACTGAGAAAGGCTCGAGGTCCTAAGAAAGTTAGTGTGATCTCTCAAATGAAGAGATAGTCAAACGGACAGATTAAAAGTTAAAAGAACATTACAAATAGTTTAGTAATCTAATTTAAACAAGTACCAGGACCGTATGTCTAAGTTACGTCCACAAAATGAAACATTGAATGTTTAAAAAAAAATACTTGCAAAATTCTAAATATGTCAGGGTAGCCAAAGTTAATTTAAAAATTTAATTATCCATCTTATGAAGGACATGTCAACCTTTTTTATTTTCTTTTTTTTTTTTTCCCCAGCCTTCTCTCTCAGATTCTTCTTCCAGAATCAATTATTAGTCACTTCAATCCCCTGAATCCTAATAACCCAATTCTGCCTTGTGCTTCCTCCTCCTCTCCTGCATCACAGGTCTGTCTTCTATTTAAAATGGCAGAAATATTTCAGGTATCTTTTATAAACTGAAAATGGGAAATTTTTTTAATTTTTTTTTTTTTTTCCTGATTAGCATCTCAGGATGTTCCTTCCATTCCTTCTCCACTGAATCATTAGATCCTTAAACCTCTAAATATATTCATTTTCTGCTGTTAAATTGTAACTCATTTTCAAGCTTTCTACAGAGACAGCTCATGTTTTGCCTGCATTTTTTTTCCTCTCAAATTACAGATAAAAAAACCCTACCTAACCAGCACAACAAAATGTCATTAACTCACACATCTGCTTGAAATTCATTGTTGCCTTTCTATTTTCATTATCTCTTGCTCGCAACAATGACATTTGGAAAGATATTTCAGGATCTGACACAGAAACGTCTCTCTCTTCCCCCCCCACCTTCCCCTCCCCTCCACC